GGTCTGGGCTGGGGATTCGAACCCGCCACCTTAGGTGTACGTGGCTGGCGGCTTAGCCGGTTGAGCTATAGGCGCCGAGCCAGGATGCTGGATCTTATGAAATGCTTTTTCTGCATCTATTTAGAGTATCATATGCTCTTTGTTTTTACTTCTGTTGCTACGGTGAATAACATTTATGGACTTGCGTATGTTAAACTAGCCTTGCATCCCTGGGATGAAATCTACTTGATTATGATGTATGACTTTTTTTGATGATAAACTGTAATCTTTTGGCTAGGATTTTGTTAAGAATTTTTGCATCTATATTCATTAGTGAAATTGGTCTGAAGTTCTCCTTTTTAGTTGGGTCTTTTCCTGGTTTTGGTGTCAGGGTGATGTTTGCTTCGTAGAACATGTTGGGAAGATTCCTTCCTCCTCAATTTTTTGGAATAATTTCTGCAGTATGGGGATAAGCTCTTCTTTGAAGGTTTGATAGAATTCTGGTGTGAAGCCATCCTGACCAGGGCATTTTGGGGAGGGGGGGGAGATTTTTTATTGTTTCTTTGATCTCAATACTTGAAATTGGTCTGTTCAGGAGCTCTATTTCTTCCCGGCTAAGTCTAGGGAGAGGGTGTGATTCCAAATATTGATCCATTTACTTAACATTGTCAAATTTCTGGTAGCAAATAGAGTTTGTGGTAGTATTCAGAGATAATCTCTTGTATCTCTGTGTCATCAGTTGTTATTTCCCTTTTATCATTTCTGATTAAGGTTACTAGAGATTTTACTTTTCTATTTCTAGTAGGTCTGGCCAAAGGTTTATCTATTTTATTTATTTTTTCATAAAACCACCTCCTTGTTTCATTAATTTTCTGAATGATTCTTTTGTTTTTGATTTCATTGGTCTCTCATTTAATTTTGGATATTTCTTTTCTTCTGCTGGGTTTAGGCTTAGATTGTTCTTCTTTTTCCAATTCCGTAAGATGGTTTGTGAGTTTCTTGATGCACTCTCTTTCTGTTTTTTGAATGTAGACATCTAAAGCAGTAAATTTTCCTCTCAGGACTGCTTTTGCTGTATCCCACAGGCTTGGTAGCTTGGGTCTTCATTGTTGTTATGCTCAAGGAAGTTAATGGTTTCCTCTTTTATTTCTTCCAGTACCAAACTGTCATTCAGCATAAGGTTGTTTAATTTCCATGACTTTGTGTGGGGTTGAACTTTTTTGTTGGAATTGAGTTCTACCTTTAATGCCTTGTAGTCTGAGAAGATACAAGGTAAAATATTAATTCTTTTGATTCTGTTGAGGTTTGTTTTGTGTCCTAGGATATGATCAATTTTGGAGAATGTTCCATGGGCCAATGAGAAGAATGTATATTCTGTAGCTTTGGGATGGAGTGATCTATCTACATCTATTGAGCACAGTTGTTTCAGGGTCTCATTTAAGTTCCTTATATCTTTGTTTAATTTCTGTTTAGAAGATCTGTCCAGCTCTGTAAGAGGAGTGTTAAAGTCCCCTGTTATTATTGTGTTATAGGATATCATATTGCTCAGACTAATTAAAGTCTGTTTCAAGAATCTGGAAGCATTTAAGTTGGGTGCATAATTATTTAGAATTGAAAGGTCTCCTTGTTGTATTTTTCTCTTTACCAATATTAAGTGACCATCTTTGTCTTTTTTGACTTTAGTTGCTTTAAATCCACATGTATCTGAAAATAAGATCGCAACCCCTCTTCTTCTGAATTCTTTTTGCCTGAAAAATTGTCTTCCAACCCTTAACTCTGAGTTTTAATTTGTCTTTTGAGCCTAGGTGTATTTCCTGCAGACAGCAAATGGATGGCTTGTGTTTTGTTTTTGTTTTCTTAATTTTTTATTTACTACAGGCACTCACTACAATGCCCAGCTATTTTTAGAGATGAGGTCTTGCTCTGGCTAAGGTTGGTCTTGAACCTGTGAGCTCAGCCAATCTACCCATCTCAGCCTCCCAGAGTGCTAGGATTACAGGCGTGAGCCACCATGCCTGGCTCCAGGAAGCTTTTGTAATAGTCTGGAGATGTGGTTTTGCCAGTAGAGAGCCAAGAGCGGGAGTAGGAGAGATGAGGTAAGGGATGCTGTATAGGAAAAATGGACAAGATTTGATGATTAAGTATAGCATGTGAAAGAAAAAGAGGATTCAGTGATGATTCCAGTTTTTCATGTGATTCTGACAGTGATGGGGTCACTGACAGAAATGGGGAACACTGAAGGAGGGGTTGAGTTGTAGATGGAAGATGTGAACTTTGGCTCTTGATACAACCAGTTTTAAATGAAACCAGTAAAACCTCAAGCAGAGATGTTCAGCAGATGTTTGGACAAGTGGGACTGAAACTGAGGATTCAGGGCAAGGCAGAAAATAAAGATTTGGGAACTGGTGACCTTTAGGTGTATTAACCCTCTCAGCATGAATAGTTTTTTTAAAAAGACAGTATGGGAGAAAAGCAGAGGCCTTGGAGCGGGGATGTCTGTTGTGTAGTGTGCAAATTGCCCCAGTCAAGATGGATTCCTCATAAGCAAAGAGGAATCTTGTGCCTCACTTTTACTCTCCCTGTCTCTGTGCTAAGTCCATGTAAGGTACTCTGTCGAGATCTGCAGAGTGAAATTGGTTATAAAATTATAGCCCCTTGTTAACTACTTTACAGCTTTTGAATAGGTGAGTTCCATTTCTGTCCCTTCCACATCTTACTGTCTTCTCCCCTTTCCCCAGTGCTCTTCTCTTATTCCCTCTCACTGATGCTTACAGTAGCTATTTCCTTATCAGTCCAGAGGTCATTTATAGAAAGTTTATCTTGTAGATATCTATCTCAGATTAAAAGTGTCTATTAGTTTGAGACTCGCCTGAGCAAGAGTGAGACCCCGACTCATGAAAAAAAATGGAAAAACCCAGTCGGGCGCTGCGGTGAGCACCTTTAATCCCAGTGGCTTCTGGAGTGTGAGGCAGCGGGATGCCCACAAGCCAGAGTCTGAGATTGCAGTGAGCTACCAAGCCACTTTACTCTGCTCAGGGATAGAGGGTGGGACTCTGTCTCAACAACAACAACAAAGAGTCTATTAGTCAAAGTGGCATTTTCATAAGTTAAAATGAGTTTTTATTTATTTTTTCAGGGTAATCCAGAATTTAATGTTTATCATACTCAGTGGAGCTGTTGATGGATAGCATTACATTCATCTTTTTATTTTAGAATATAAAATAATTTGTTGAACTAATGAAAACCACATTAAAAGTTTCATGCTATATAGCTATACTGTACTGTTTTGTTAAAGTTGACAATGTGGTTGAAGTTTGTGCCATTGATTCTCTGATCTGATATGTTCTAGGCAAGGTGAAGAATCCTGAATGGAGCAGAAATGAAATTCCACATAGTTGTGGTGAGGTTTGTAGAAAGAAACAGCCTGGCCAGGACTGCCCACATTCCTGTAACCTGTAAGTTGGAATGCTCAATCCCTTAGGATTCCTACTGGATGTGCTTTGTGGTGGCTCTAAGTACACATATCTGGTTAGCATGTAACTTATCAGGGTGAAGGGTGATATGGGACCATTTACTGAGTGCTTACTCTGTGCCAGGCACTCTACATAAGTTAATTTGTTGAATCAGTACCACTGCTGAGTGATGTATAGGTATTTATCATTTCCACTTTATCAATGAGACTCTGAAAGGCCAAGCATCTTGCCTAATGTCACAGTGTTAGGACATGATAAAGTGGCAGTTTCCAAAGCAGTGCTTCTTCTGCTTTATTACACTGCTCACTTCTAAGGAGCAATGAGACTCATATTTTATTGCCCTGGTGAAATGCAGGTCTGCGAGAGTATATTTAACAGCCTTCTATCCAAGGACAATTGTTTAAGGTCCTGTCAGACAGTGTTTTAAGAAATTGAATCCTTTCCCTGTAATAAATAGCAAGCTTTAGAATGTATTCAGTAAGCTGCTAAATAATCAGGGAAATGTGCAGTAATAGAGAAACAATTGAACAGTTACAGATAACATTTCTAGGGGCTATGACCTCAGACCCAGGTTTAAGTCCTGGATTCAAGTCACTTAAATAGTTATGGGACCTGAATAATAGCACAGGGTTCTGCAAAAAATTAATATTTCTAAAAAGGTTGGTACAGGCTCGGCGCTTATGGCTCAAGTGGCTAAGGCGCCAGCCACATACACCCAAGGTGGCAGGTTCGAATCCAGCCTGGGCCCACCAGACAACAATGACGGCTACAACCAAAAATTAGCCAGGCGTTGTGGCAGGCACCTGTGGTCCCAGCTACTTGGGAGGCAGAGGCAGGAGACTCGCTTGAGCCCAGGAGCTAGAAGTTACTGTAAGCTGTGATGCCATGGCACTCTACCCAGGGGGACAGCTTGAGGCTCTGTCTCAAAAAAAACAAAAAAAAAAAGGTTGGTACAGAGTCTGGCAAGTGGTCAAAAAATGGTAATTTTTGCTTTTTATTATCCACATCTCAGAGTAAATATCAGATCTTGGTGTTTCTACTGCATGGAGCAGTGGTAAATATTGACCCAGGGACCTTATGATCAAGCTGTGGTGGTGGTATGCTTGGGAAATTTAGTATAGAGCTGTTTCAGATTGAGCTAGAAAGCATGGCCTGCAATCTGCTAGGCAGTCAGCCACCTCCTTCCTTTGACTGCTTTCATAGGTTCTCCCTCAGGGACTCATTTACTCAAACCGTTCTTTCCTTTAGCTGGCATTGTAAGTAAATTCAGTAATAAGAAATTACCCCTCTGCAGGGACTGTCTTTTTGAAGCCTTCAGCAGAAATGGGCTCTGTTGTATCTACCAAAGAACATCGAAATGATGTAGACTATCAGGTGGTCAACACCATGTCCGAAAGGAAGGGACACCTTAAAACGTGCTCTCTTGAAACTCTCACTCTTAGAACTGTCCCTTCACTCCAATCAGGACCCTGAAGGTTGCCAAAATCCATTCCCCAACAGCACTTTCCTGGTCTCAAAGAAAGCTTTCAGTTTCTCTCATTGACATTTATCAGGACTCAGAAACCACATTCAGCCAGCCCCTTTCTCTATTTTGGGTTATTCTCCTAGGTTATAGAATTCTCTAGAGTATGGTTCCTGTCCCTGGCTACCTATTAGAATCATTTAAAGAACACTTTCTGAAAACTAATTCTGAGTCTCTACTTCAAAACAATTGATTCCAAGTCTCTGCAAGTGGATTCTGAACAGCTATAGTTTTAAAATCTCTCCAGGTGGTTCCAGTACTTAGCCAGTGTCTCAGACCACTGCTATGAAAGTTAAGAAAACCTAAGATTGAGTGCAGGCTTCCAGAATATTTGGAATAACCCAGAGGCCCCCACACTGACCTGCAACTTATTTATCAGTCTGAAGTTATTTAAATGTGCAGCTATGAAAATTGTTTCATAGGTTGGGACATATCATGTGAAATACATTATAGCATAATTATACTCAACTTTGAAGAAACATGCTTAAACTTATATCTACTAAGGGCTATCTTAGAAGACTAGGCACTTGTTCCTGGGTTGTTTTCAGTGTTTAAATCTTTTTTTTTTTTTTTT